TCAACGAAAGTTTCTGTAATACTTTATACCGGCTGTCGCTTTTCTTTGTATTAGTTTTATCAATATGATTTATAGATAGTACATAGCCCAAGGTAAAGTCCGAGTTGTTCCGGAATAACTAAGGCTCCTTTGGCGTATCCGGTTCAACCGATTTGTCTGTTTTTAAATGAAGCATTTTCGGGTATAAATCCTGGCGGACCTACAAATGTTTATGCAGGCCTTGCAAGGCTTTGTCAAGGCTCGCTTTAAAGCAGCGTCAGATTATTAGGTCCGACCTTATTTCATAAAACGAACAACTCAGGTCCAACCGGTTCAACCGTTTGGATCGCGATTTATAACTTATCGGCAAAACCTGATTATTTGTATAAGCAAAATTAGGTCGAGATCAATGATCATTTCATCTTGACTGGTTGTGATTAATTTTCGTGACATGTCAACGCGATTCCATAGAAGGTCGCGTTAATGAAATACAAATAAGACGACTATGGATGTCAGAAATACCTGATAGGGTACTTGTTGGAGCTGTCAAGTGCATATCTGACATGGCTATGATATTTATTTACGATACTCCTCTATTCCGTATTTTCAATTTACAATAGTCCTGGGGGGAAATATTTATAATATGGTGTGAATTTGATTGATTCTGTGGGTCCCTCGTGTTCTCCTTTAACTTGATGTTAAAAAGTTGCACGGGTCGATACCTACATGTCCCTTTATGATCTTAAATAGCATCATATAGCATCCCCAGTGCCTCACCACTTTGGCAAACGTTCAATAATATGACTACAAATCAAAAATAGTTGTTGGAAGTGGAAAGGAAATATAAAGAAGAACCCAAACGCGGCAATTGGTGCAGCAGATTTATTTTAGTCGCTTTTTGTGTCCACAANGGGGGGGGCATCACATATACGTTGCTTCTGTCAACATGCAGTCGATAACGGAAGGTATATTTTTTTCCTAATCCTCGAACTGCAAGGAGGAAACATGATGCAAGTCTTAACGCAGAGTACTTTTCCCTTCACTCAGAAGTACTGCGAGCCATAGACTTGCATAAGCCATACATATAGTGTGGAATTTCACTGTGTTTTTGGTGCCTTCTACACACACTGACTCTGGTGTGGGCAATTTGAAACTCTAAATAGCTAAACTCATAAAGGAGGCGTGCCAGTTTGAGTCTTCTGGTGGCAGTCACCCAGAAGTCCATTTTTTGGCATAAATGAGCCATAAACCTAAGGTAAGATTGGAAACAATTTGAAGACAAAAATGGGGAAAAGTGTTGGACCAAATTCATAAATGGCCTCATTTTGACAAAACCTTATGCATTTTTTAAAAACATTTCATCCTAATCTTTAAACATTATATAATTCTGAAGCTATAGGTCTTAACGACACAGTCTTCTATGTGCCTAGAAGCACGCAAGGACCATATGATTATGAATTGAAATTAAAATAACAGGATATACTAGCCTAAATTTGAGAAATGAAGGAAAGGAACAAACTCGATTTACACTTTAGTTGAAGAAAAGTAGGGATGATAATGATGTAAAAATGATATGACTGAGTCAAATTACAAGGTATGAAGAGTCGGCTAATCTCATAGGAAGTATCAGTATTTTAAACAAGATTAATTCATATCAAATGACCGTACTGAGGAACTGAAAGAATTATCTACGTCACTTCTGATTGCGCCGTTATAGTTCAGGTGTCGTTGCAATGCCGATATTGCATATGGCTTCCCTATCTGCACTCTGAAAATATTATGGCTCTTTCTGTGAAAACACATATTTGTTCATTGATAATTGTCTATTTTCGTCATACGCTCAAAAGCTGGTCACGACACCCAATACGTAATATGAACCGTAAGCCAGGAGTTCAGATAACAGATGTGCTGTCAAAGAGGATATCAGATTGATACATCAGCGGCTATCAAATACATAAATAAGGTCCGTATGTCCAAAACAGTCCAGAAGCGATCGATAGAACTGAGAATGTTTAGTATACGTATTGCTAGAACGGAGAGTGCATCACCCGTCGTCACGTTTCAACACGAGTAGAGACGGAGCATATTTATATGACCGATATGGACACGAAATATGGTTCCATTTGGTGCCAGATTATTAAACAAAAATGAACAAATAATGCTATCTGACGAATCTTATTTCGACATAAGATTTATTGATTTTACTCAGTCATTTTTTAATATGCGAGGGATTTTTTATTTGTTTGTTGACCGTGATATCACGCCAATGATAATTCCGTAACTGACCAATCGTTACATTGTTCAATTTTTAACTGACCATTCGCAACATTGTTCAGTCATTAACTGACCAATCACAACATTGTTCTGCCTTAAACTGACCAATCACAACATTGTTCAGTCTTTAACTGACCAATCAAAACATTGTTCAGTTTTTAACTGACCATTCGCAACATTGTTCAGTCATTAACTGACCAATCACAACATTGTTCTGCCTTAAACTGACCAACCACAACATTGTTCAGTCTTTAACTGACCAATCAGAACATTGTTCAGTCTTTTAACTGACCAATCACAACATTGTTCACTTATTAACTGACCAATCACAACACTGTTCAGTCTTAAACTGACCAATCACAACATTGTTAAAACGTTGACCGACCTATCACAATATTGTATCATTGTTAACTTACCAATCACAAAACAGTTCAGTTGTCTCCCTTCCAGTAGTGTGACTAGGAATGGGTACGTGCACCGTTGACAAGGGAGTTACGTTACTTAGAGCGTCCGTCTTGTGATCCGAGGTCCAGGGTTGGAATCCCGATCGTTCTGTATTATTTTTTTTACTCTCACTCTCAGATTGCTTGTTGATTTATTTTCTTTGCAAAAATTATGTTTTTCTACAACCACCTTTTTGACTGCAACCTTCTACATAACCTACAATTATAATTTTTGGTTGGCCTAGGGGTCTGGCCCATTCCATTGGATCTGATTTGGAGAATGTTTTGCCATGATTGCTTAGATATCCAGGTGAGCGATTCTGGGCCTCTTGTATTAAAACAAATATCATTCCTGAAAAAATCCATACCTTGTAGGATATTGATTAAAAATATAGATATGAATTAAACAAACAAGAGACTCAGAGGGCCTGTATCGCTCACCTGGATAATAGAGCAACCATGGGAAATTATTCTTATTACATAAACGCCTTCTAACGGTACAGAAAGAGAACAAATTTAAATATCTAAACCACGGTTTTCCCTATTGGGCCCCGCAACTCTCAGCCCCCATGGGGCCCAAACTTACCGTTTATACAAAATTGAGTCCCCTTGGCCCAAGGATGCTCAAGACCAAATTAGGATAAAATCTCTTAATCTCTAAGGTAGAAGAAGAATTTCAAATGTGTTTACCTCTATTTCCCCTATTCGGCCTCTGTCCCCAGGGGGGCCACACCAACCGTTTATACAAAATTATGTTCCCTTGGCTCAAGGACGCTCCAGACCAAATTGGGATAAAATCCCTTATCCATTTGGTAGAAGGATTTCGAAGATTTTTACCCCTATTTCCCTTATTAGGCCATGCAACTCTGCCCCAAGGTGGTCCAAACCCACTATTTATACATAATTAAGTCCCCTTGGCCCAAGAATGCTCAAATTTCAAATGTTTTTTTATCTCTATATCCCCTATTCGGCCCCACCCCTCTGCCCCCAGGGGGCCACACCCACCGTTCATACAACATTGATACCCCTTGGCCCAATGATGCTCCAGACTATAAATAGGATAAAAAAAAAAACTTAATCCCTTCGGTAGAAGAAGGATTTCAAAGGTTTTTACTTCTATTTACCCAATTGGGCCCAGCAACTCTGACCCCAGGGGGTCCAAACCCACCCTTTATACAAAATTGAGTTCCCTTGGCAAAAGGGTGCTCCCAAAAAAATGGGATGAAATCCCTTAATTTCTATAGTAGAACCCTTGGCCTAAAGATGCTCCAGACCAAATCTAGTCGAAATCTACTGGGCCGTTCCGGACATATAGCGCATTAAAGGAAGGGGTGACGGACGGACGTTGGATGGATTACTTCATCGGGATTCGAACCATGGACTAAAGATTGATATGCTATCACTCTAACCGACTGCGTTACCTTATCAATGGCACAACGTTATCCTAGAACAACTATGCTACAGTTACATTTAAAACGAAATTAAGGGGAGGTTATTGTGGAAAGACATATTACAGTGCAGTTAGACAAGGATCCTTCACTTAAGGAGTTTCCTGGAGTTATTCAATTGGAATGCATTTCTGGAATTATAGGTAATTTCCCTTAATTCGCCTTTCATTGCCAAAACGTTGACACTCAAAGAGAAGGGCAATCCCAAATGAATGTCCGCAGTTGCAAACGACTTTCGACAAGATTCACTCTATAAAAGGTCATTAGTAAGAGAACTACACTAGTGTCTCAGTCGGTAAATCTATTAACTCCTTATCACACCCACCCCACCACCCCACAACCC